CTTGCTGATTTTCTGCCTGCTAGATCTGTCCATTTCTGATGGAGGAGTGTTAAAATTTCTAACTATATGAGTGAATTCATTTCTTTCTCCTTGCTGTTCTATCAATTTTTGCCTCATATATTTTGACACCCTACTGTTAGGTGATGCATATTAAAGATTGTTAATGTCCTCTTGGAGTATTGACCCCTTTATCATTATATAATACCTCTCTTTATCGCTAATAATTTCTCTTGGTCTGAAGTCTGCTTTGTCTGAAAGTAATATAGCTGCTCCAGCATTATTTTGATTAGTATTAGAATTAATTGTGCATCTTTGTCCATCCCTTTACTTCTACTCTCTATATCTTTATATTTAAAGTGGATTTTTTGTCAACAACATATAGTTGGATCTTGTTCTTTGATCCACTATGACAATGTCTGTCTTAACGATGTGTTTAGACCATTGATGTTTTAAAGTGATTATTGATATAGTTGTATTAATACTACCATATTTGTTACTCCTTATTCTTTGCTCCTGTTTTTGTCTTTGACTATTTTTCTGCCTTTTCTGATTTTAACTGAGCATTTTATGATTCCATTTTCTCTCCTTTCTTGGTGTATGAAATATGTATTTCTATTTTTTCCCCTTTTTTTCAGTGGTTGTCCTGGAATTTGCAATATACATTTACAGCTAATCTGCATTCACTTTCAAATAACACTGTTCTGCTTCACAGATAGTACAAGTACTTTATAATAACAAAAATTTGAACTTCTCCCTCTAGTCCCTTGTATCATTTCTGTCATTCATTTCACTTATACATATGCTATAGTCACTGAATACATTGTTATTACCATTATTTTGGACAAACTATTATCTGTTAGATCAATTAAGTTGAAGTTTTTATTTTACCTTCACTCATTCCTCTCTAGTGCTCTTTCTTTATGTAGATTCAAGTTTCAACCTATATCATTTTCCTTTTCCTAGAACAACTTTTTGAGATTGATTTTTTTTTAAGAGAGACAGCATGAGTGGTGGGGAGGTGCAGAGGGAGAGAGAAAGAGAACCTCCAGCAGACTCCCTATGTGGGGCTCAATCTCAAAACCCTGAGATCATGACCTGAGCCAAAATCAAGAGTAGGAAAACCGACTGAGCCACCTAAGTGCCCCTCTTGGAACAACTTTTTAAAACGTTTCTTGCAAGGCAGTCCTACTAACAACAAATTCCCTCAATTTTTGTTTGAAGAAGTCTTTATTTCTCCTTCATTTCTGAAAGATAATTTCAGAGAATATAGAAATTTAGGTAGGTGTTTTTCCTCTCTCAACACTTTAAATATTTCACTCTACTCTCCTTGGTTGCGTGGTTGCTGAGGAGTTATCTAATATAATTCTTATTTTTGCACCTCTACAGTGAACTGTATTATTCCTCTGGCTTCTTTCAAGATTTTTTTTTTTTTTGTCTTTGCTTTTCTGTAGTTTGAATATGATATGCCTAAAGGTAGTTTTTTGCCAGGTATCCTACTTGATGTTCTCTGGGCTTCCTGGATCTATAGTTTGGTGTCAGACATTAATCTGGAGAAATTCTCAGTCATTATTGCTTCAAATATTTCTTCTATTCCATTCTCTTTTCTCCTTCTGGTATTTCATTTGCATATATATTACGCCTTTTATAGCTTCCATAATTCTTGGATATTCTCTTGTTTCTTTTTTTTCTTCAGTCTTTTTTCTCTTTGCTTTTTCATTTTGGAAGTTTTTATTGGCAAATAATTAAGCTGAGGAATTTTTTCCTCAGTCATATCTAGTCTAACAAGCCCATCAAAGGTATTCTTTATTTCTGCTATAGTGTCTTGATTTTTGCCATTTCTTTTTGAGTGTTAGAATTTCCACCTCTCTGCCTATGTTGCCCCTTTCTTGAGTGTTGTCTACTTTGTCTGTTAGAACCCTTAGCATATTAATCATAATTTAAAAAAATTTCTGGTCTGACAATAGCATTTTTGCTGGTTATCTGGTTCATTGATGCTTATTCAGTTTCTTCAATTTGGGTTTTGTTTGTCTTTTAGTATGCCTTGTAATAGTTTTGATTTTGTTTTGTTTTATTTTGATAGATGGACATGATGATACCGCATAAAAGGAACTATGGGAAATAGGCCTTTGGTGATGTAGTAGTAAGAGTATAAGAGGCCAGGTGTTCTTTGGTCCTATGATTAGTTGTAGTCTTTTAGTTAGTCTGTGTTACTGGGCTGTGAACTTCACAATTGCTTTTTAGTAACTTTCCTTCCCTTAGAGTAATACAGGATGGCTGAGAGGGCTGGAGTTGGGTATATCCCTTCTTCCAGCTCAGTTGGGTTCTGAGAAACCTGTCATAGTTTAGGCTCTGGTAAAACAGTTTCTCTTGAAGGCAGGACTTGTTAAGAAGTACAGAATATCCTAGCATATTCAAAATAGCTACTTTTCCCTTCCTCCTGCCACATGCACAAGATTTTCCTCAGGTCTTCATTGTGAGAACCTGGTATGGCTTCTGGAGGTAAAGTCACAAAAAATGTAAGGGTCCCTCAATGATTGTGTTTTCTGGAGTATTTAACTCTCAGACTTGTCCACACTGCCTCCAGAAGTTCATCATTTACATTTCCAGTATCCTTACCCCAGCACTGGTTCCTGTGGCGGTTTCTGCTTATTGGTTTCTTTGTATCCAGCTTGTCTGTCTCTCCAGTTTGGGGGGCAGTGGTTTGTCTTATTGCTAAGGTCTAAATGTTTGTGTCCTCCCCAAATTCATATGTTGAAATTCTAAGAGGTGGAGCCTTTGGGAGGTACTTAGGTCATGAAGGTGGAGACCTCATGAGTAGGATTTGTGTCTTTATAAAAGAGGCCTCACAGAGCTTACCCACCATCTTCATGTGAGGACATAAAAAGGTGTCAGTTATGAACCAGGAAAAGACCCCTCACTTAACCATGCTGGTGCCTTGATCTTGGACTTCCCAGTATCCAGACTGAGAAATAAATTTCTATTGTCTATAAGCTATCTAGTCTATGATATTTTGTAATAGCAGCCTGAACAGATGAAGACACCTGTGATCTCACATCTCAGAAGGGTCTAAGAAGAGTTGTTATTGGACTGGAAAACAGACCAGTATTTCCGTTCTATAATCTGTTCTCCATACTGTAGCTGTAGTGGTCCTCAAAAACATGAATCTAATTTTGTCATATTTCTAGTTGAAACTTCCCATTTACGTTAGGATAAAATCCAAACTCAGTAATTTGGATAACAAAGCCTTTGTTATCTAGCCTTGATTTCTCTCTCTACATTGATCTTTTGCATATTTCACCTTAACTTCTGTGCCCAGCTATTCTGAACTGATTTCCATTTTCAGTGTTCTATATTCTCCTTCTCTCTTTTCGTCTTAAACTGTTTGGTTCTCACTCATTTTTCAAGGTTTAAATTAGAAACCATCTCCCTGGACAGCCCACCTTGACTTTCCCAAAATCTGTTCGATGTGACCTTCCTTAGTGTCTGAAAATATAGGATCACAACTAATTAGCATAGTAGATATAATTAAAGGCCTTAGATATAATCAGTTGGCAGCCTTAAATATTTAGGTGCTTGTAGTTATTATGAAGGAATCCTTAGAGCTTTTGCTAACAGTGTTTCTGACAATTAAGCTCTCATGTGGAAGAGTTACATTATGGAGGATATTTTTTGAAGGGTATATAATCCATTTATTCAGAATGTTCAGAGTTTATTCTTACAATCAGATTAGCAAATCCATGCACCTGCCAATTAGTTATTTGCAAGAATTAGTGCTAGCCAAAATAAATCTCAGTGGCTTCTCTGGTATTCCTTCGTCCCAAACATTTTAGACATTAAATTGACAGCCTGATTTACATTTAGACAATAAATTGACAGTCTGATTTACATAACAACCTCATGTGTGTTTGATTGATGTGAGTTAGAGGCTACTCTCCCTGTGTATACACTACATCAAGTTTTTGAAGTTGTAATGCATGTTGAGATCTACATTCTGTAAAAAATCCTAATTATCTAATTAAATATGTTACATGATGATTATACTAAGGTACACTTGCTCTGTCATCAGTGACAGAGATATGAATGTGTACCTTCTATCCTCTTTTCCTCTTCTCCCCCTCACCCCATACATCTGGTTGAGTTTATATGTTTACTACACTTACAATGCTGTTATACTCTGTAATTGTCCACTCAGATGTTTATTACATATTTCTCAATTCTGAACTGTTCTTAGTAAATCCCAGCTGGTGCTAATGAGAATTGTTATTGTAGGGCCTTGACTGTGTAATGTAAGGGTTTTGTTCATTGGTAAGACCTGTTGAATTTCCTTATTAATAACATTTAGTTTTGTTTTGGATTTTTTTGTCAAAGGAAATGTGATTAAATTATAGTATGTCTGGGTGGCTTTGTGATTGACCTGGTACATTAACGAAAGGCACATAATAACATATCTTTCTTTGCCTGTTTCTCCAGATATGGGGATTTTGATCATTACCTACCTGCTGATGTTGCTTAAAAATATTAATATTTTAAAACACCAAGATACATCAGAAATATCCCATTTGTTATGGGTAAAGAGTGTAAAGAGTTTTTTTGTTTCATATAGGCTTTAAACTTCATGTGAGGAATGGGTTTTTATTTTGTTTCTTTATTCCCAATTCCTGTTAGTATGTTTTCCATATAAAATGTAAATATTGTTTAAATTAGACGATTGTGTATGTATTTGATGAACTGCTTTAAATAATCTTATAACTTGCTTCCCAGATCTTATATATTTCATTATTGGAGAGAAAATGAACATGGTTGTTGAAGGAGGAAAAGAAATGATTTGAATATAATTAATTTTGGGGTATGGTAATTCAACAAGTAATGAATTCTGAAGCAAGCATTTTATATTTTGAAGCAGACATAATTTTTCTTGTTATAGAATATACAGTCTTTTAAAAGTAATAAAGTACTTGGGGATAGGTAAAGAGTTTTAAAACTATATTTTTAAAAATCAGTTCTTTAGGTGCTGGGAACGTAGGTGACCGTGTTCTGGCTCAGCTCTTAACAGAAATGGATGGCATTGAACAGTTAAAGGATGTGACAATTTTGGCAGCTACTAACCGCCCAGATAGGATAGACAAGGTAAGAAAGAAAGCAGTGCGAGTGTTGTAAGAACTGGATCATTTGATTATGTTAGCTTTTTTTTCATTTAGTAATTACAAATTACTTTGTAATCAGTTTTTCATTTAGAGGATCCCGAAAATCTTAAACTAAAGGAAATGAAAAGAACAGAGTAAAGCTTCTATGTTTTTATTGCTTATGGTTTGGTATTAATGAAACTATTTTGTAACCCCTTGAATTTCCCCCCTCATGGTTGCATCAGACTTTCAGATGGAGAATTGAAGTTCTGAAATTCTTTTTTTGTTTGTTTATGTCATCGATTTATTTTTGAGACGTTTTTAACATTTTCATTCATACTAAGGTAAATTTCTGGATATTTAGGACAAGTTAGACTGAAGTTATTATTAACAGCTTTTTAGAATTCTTTGTCTGCAGTTGCTTTCAGAGTGATTAGAATAAGAGTGACAATGGATTTTATCTAAGAAATTACTTAGGCTCTAGCAATAAACTAAGCTATACAGTTGCAAAATTAACCCTTTCAAGGTATTGCTACCACTTTTTTTCCCTAGGTCAGAGTTTAATAAAGGGAATTCACTAAATTTTAAATGTCTGATTTCTACCTAATGTATAATTCTTTGCAAGGATTTAAATTAAGAGTAAAAATTTTCTCCTGTAGCATGAACCAATTTTTCTTTTTTCTGTTCACATTATTGCTTCATATAAATGACCTTATGAGCTCCTCTCTCCTTCCCTGTGCATAAATATACTGACTTTTAATTTTAAAAATGGGATTTAGAAAAAATCCTTGCAAAGATATGAAAGGAGCTTTTATGTGGAAAGCAAGCTTTGCTTTCATTCAATTAGGTATTTTACTATGCCATAAAGACCTTTGAGTCAAATACAGGTGAGAAAGCTTTTTTTTAAGAAGAAAGGTGTGTTCTGAGCACTTATAGGATCTGGGTCCATGCTCAGATACCTCTGATGTCTATGAAAAAAAAAAAAAGATAGGACTGTATTTTAACAAGTATCATAGAAAGTACTAAAAGAACCCTAGAAGTCACCTAATCCCACCTTTGTTTCACAAATAAAGGTGCTGAATCCAGAAAAAAACTCCTGGTAAGAATATATTATATTTTATGATATACCCCATGGCTAATGAGCTCTAAAATTTCTTTGGTTTCCTTCTCTACAATGCCTAATCTAATAGTTGTCTTCTTTGGTTTCTTAATAGAGTATGTCTTCACTGTTAGATACATTTCTTGAAATAGGGCTTTCTCTGGGTTCATCTAAATCAAGCCATATGATTCAGCTTGATTGGTGCTTGTATTAGTTTTCTCTTACTGTGTTACAGATTACCTCAAATTTAGCAGTTTTACACAACACCCATTTATTAGTATTTCTGTAGGTAGGTCAAAATCTGGGAATGGCACGACAGAGTTGTCTGTTCCAGAGGCTCACTACGGGCTAAACACAAGTAGTTGGCAGGACTATATCGTTGTCAGGAGCTGGTATTCCTTTTCTTTTTTTTTTTTTTAAGATTTTATTTATTTATTTGACAGAGAGAGGCACAGCGAGAGAGGGAACACAAGCAGGGGGAGTGGGAGAGGGAGAAGCAGGCTTCCCGCCGAGCAGGGATTCCGAGGTGGGGCTCGATCCCAGGACCCTGAGATCATGACCTGAGCTGAAGGCAGACGCTTAACGACTGAGCCACCCAGGTGCCCCTGGTATTCCTTTTCTAATCTCATATGATTGGGTCAGAATTCATTTCTTGTGATTGTAGGCCTAAGGACTAAATTTCCTTACTGGCTGTCAGCTGGGAGCTACTGTCGCTCCTAGAGACCCCCACATGGCCTCTTCCATCTTCAAAGACAGCAGTGAGAATTGCCATCATATTTTATCCCTCTTATGCTTTAAAATTCTGTTGCCAGGAAAAGCCCAGTGTCTTTTAGTGTCATCTGATCAGGTTAGGCCCAACAAAGGAAAATCTCTCCACCTTCAAGTCAGCGGTTTCAGGACCTTAATTAATTACATTTGCAAAAGCCCCTCACAGTAGCACCTAAATTAGCATTTGATTGAATAACTGGGAGAAGGTGTGAGTCCACTAGGGGACCAGAATCTTGTGACTCTACTAGAAGTCTTCCTACCACAGTGCTCTTCAGCGTCTTCCCCCCACTACTATCTGAATTCCGTTCCAAGTCCTAAGAACAACTTCTAACTTCCTCAGAGACCAGCTTATCCTTGCCTGTCATATAATTGGCTATGAACCAGCTCCTCTGAAATGTTCTTGTTCTGTGGAATCTGCTGTTTTCTCAGATGCAGCATTTCTTTGCCTTGCCTTGTCCAAATATATCTTTCTTCAAATTATACATATAATCTTTCTTAAAATAGGAAAGGATAAACAAATTTAAACTCCTTTTGTAAAGGATACATTTTTTCATGTTCTTTATATGTGTAACACTTTGTAGGTTTGTTACTTAATACGGTGGAATTGTTGATTTATAATCTGTTTTGCTTTTCCCCCCGTAAGACCTAAACTGAACCCTAACTGTTGTGTTTTACAGTAGATCTAATTTATCCTAGTTTTTTACCAACACCTGGTACAAAAGACCTTTAGAAACTTTAAAGATAAACCTAGAGATTAGACGTTATTCTTGGGCCACCGTAAGGTTTGGGGCCTTTTTTAAAACTCAGCTTTCTAAAGTCAAAACCTTTCCATTCTCTTTAGGATAGTTTAGTCTGTGGATATCTTGGATCTCTTGGAAAAAATACTTAACTGGATTTTGGGCAGAAGTTGTTTCCAAAGACAGGAGATTTAAGGGATGGAAGTGGTTTTTCTTTTTTTTACATTTCAAAGATTTTGCATTGTTTTCGTGTTTCTTGCCTGGTGATAATATTTGCCTTAGGAAGGCATATGCTGTGTTTCATTAACAGCAACTCGTAAGTGAGTCTTGAACATCACAGAGTTTCAGAAATTGAAGTTTGGGAAATATCTTGCCGAACTTCTAGCCATGTTTTTTTATCCTTTTTAAAATGTTACCTTGAATTCATCAGTTCTAAAAACATGTGATTGTACAAAATAAGTGTTTTAAGTATCAATATTAATTCACTGTTAATACCTTGATTTATTGACCTCTTTAAGATGTTTCAGAGAGAAGTATAAACATATGCAAACATATAGTATGTATAGATCCATATTTGTATGTATGCTTGCATGTTTGTATGTATACATATATATGCATTTACGCACATACTTTGATGAGTTTTTGGATATTAGAAATCCAACTTTTTTTAACCAACTAATTTTGGATGAGCACATTTAAATTAAGATTGAAAGTATTTGCTAACTAGGTACAAAGACTTATTTTCACTAGGTCAGGGAGATTCAAATTTTTCAAAATTTATAATGTTTAATTTGTAAAGGATTAAATAATAAAATTATTCCTGGCAGCAAAACGTAAAATTGGTAAATGGGAAAAAGCATTTTTGAGTGGTATAAGAATGGTTTCAAGATCATCAAATGATGTGCTATGCTTTCAAGTACAACTTTGAATTTAGTACATTGCACCAGGGTCTAAATGTTCTGCCTATTGTATTCTGTAATTGTGCAAAAAAAAAAAAAAAAAAAAACCCAAAACCCCAAACTTTAAATAATCAGTGATTTTTGTAAAAAAAAAAATTAATTCTTTTCTATTTCAAGTAGAATTCCATATTCTATGGAATATGGATTTTTTCTTTTTTTTTTTAAGATTTTATTTATTTATTTGACAGAGAGAGAGAGATCACAAGTAGACAGGCAGGCAGAGTGAGAGGAAGAAGCAGGGAGCCTGATGCGGGGCTCGATCCCAGGATGCTGGGATCATGACCTGAGCCGAAGGCAGACACTTAACCGACTGAGCCACCCAGGGGCCCCGGATTTTTTTTCTTAATTGTACTTTTGTTACTACTCATATGATACATACTATATCAAAAGTCATTTTTCTTTGCAGACTTTTTCCTCTGAAGAACTATTTTAGAGCATTATTTGTATATCATTTAATACTACTATAAAAAAGAAGTTTCAGTGCATGTGTGATTATAACATGGTGTTTGTTCAAAATGTGTCCTGAAGGTCCCGGTAGAAACCAAACAATCTTAAGAGACAATATAAAAACAAAAAAACTTCCTGTTATGAAATGAATAGACCGTTTCCACCACCTGCCTTGTCTGGACGAAACTGTATTAGGAAGAATATGGGTGACAGAAGAATTAAATTTCATGTGCTGCTAAAAAGTAAAGATTTTTTTTTAGCTTAAAACTGGAATTTAAAAAAAAAGACTGTTCTAGTGTCAAAGAAATAATACAGTTGGTCTAACTTTGGCTAAATTTAATTAGGGTGTTTGGCCTTGTAAATTAGCTGGCCTACTTTACCATCCTGTTGTCTGTTAACCCACAACCTCTGTGTCATGGGGACCTTAAGTTAGTGTGTTAAAAGGGTGAGGATTCTTGGACTGCCAGAGGAGTGAAATTGACATCATTGTGTCACCTATATGTTGTGTGTATTTAGTGTCTTTTATGGACAGTATTTCAATTTCATGTAGTTTGGGGAAACTAAAGCTGGAGTTTCTTGGGGATTCTGGTGGTTCAGCAAAGGAAGTAAGACACATAGCTCAAGAACCACATTGTTCTATTTCCTGCTATGTCATATTTACATGTCAAATACATTAGCTGTGATGTAGCACACTAGGCTAAGTAAAGTGATTGCTTGTGGTTCCTGGTGGTATCCTGAAGTCTCCATAGACTTTTATGCCTTACCCTCTCCTCCAGCTAATAAGTGAGAGAAGAGAAGTCATATCCTCAAGTGTCCATTTTACATAAGAATGACAAGATGTGAAGGATAGATGAAGATTAATGAGATTGTATACTGTCAAGTTGACACATTGTCTTTAGATGGATGGTGGTCTGGATTTCCTCAGCATCGAGAGACTTTAGAATAGCAAACAACTGAATTTTTATTGATGCCGAAATAACAAAGAGCCCAAACT